CATAACTTGTGGTTATCTGCTTGATTAGTGCATAACATATGTTTTAAAGGATAAAGAAAAAATTGCTAGAAGCAGCTTTTTATTTTTTTTTAAAGAATTTTATTTTAATTTTTACGGGTACATAGTAGGTGTATACACTTATGGGGTACATGAGATGTTTTGATACAGGGATGCAATGTTGACTAGTTACTTCATGAAAAATGGGTTATCCATTCCCTCAAGTATTTATATTTTGTGTTAAACAATCCAGTTATGCTCTTTTAGTTATTTTAAAATGTACAATTAAACTGACTATAGGCACCCTGTCCCTGTTGTGCTATCAAATGCTAGGTCTCATTGATTCTTTTTATTCTTTTGTATCCATTAACCATTCTTATCTTGTCCCCAACCCCCATCCCACGACCCTTCCCAGCCCTGGTTGCCATCCTTCTGCACTTTATCTCAATGAATTCCATTGTTTTGTTTTTAGATCCCACAAATAAATAACAGGTGGTATTCGTCTTTCTGAGCCTGGCTCATTTCACTTAGAATATTGACCTCCAGTTCCATACATGTTACAAATAACAGAATCTCATTCTTTTTTATGGATGAATTGCACTCCATTGTGTAGAAGTACCACATTTTCTTTATTGATTCATGTGTTGATGGAGACTTAGGTTGCTTCCATATTTTGGTTATTGTGGATAGTGCTGCAACAAACATGGGAGTGCTGCTGTCTCTTAGATATACTGATTTCCTTTCTTTGGGGTACATATCCAGCAGTGGGATTGTTGGATCATACGGTAGTTCTACTTTCAGTTTCTTGAGGAACCTCCAATTGTTCTCCATAGTAATTGTATTTACATTCCCACCAAGAAGGTTCCCTTTTCTCCACAATCTCACCAGCATTTATGATTGCCTGTTTTGAGGGTATAAACAATTTTCACTTAGGTGAGATGATTTCTGATTGTAGTTTTGATTTCCATTTTTCTGACAATTTATGTTGAGCACCATTTTATCTTTCTGTTTCCCATTTGTTTGTCTTCTTTTAAGAAATGTCTGTTTAAGTCTTTTGCCAACTTTTAATCAAATTATTAGACTTTTTTCCTATAGAGTTGTTGAGCTTCTTATTTATTCTGGTTATTAATCCCTTGACAGATGGATAGTTTGCAAGTATTTTTTGCCATTCTCTGGATTGTTTCTTCACTTTGTTGGTTTTTCTCTTTGCTATGCAGAAGGTTTTAACCTGATGTGATCCCATTTGTCCATTTTTGCTTTGGTTGCTTGTGCTTGTGGGGATATGACTCAAGAAATTTTTGCCCAGTCCGCTGTTCTAAAATGTTTCCTCAATGCAGCATGCTGCCGCTGCTAGGAGTTTGGGGAGGAATTGTGTTGATTCAAGGCAGTTTTTCTTACCACTTCAGTGCCTCTTTCAGTGATATGAAGTTAAAACCAGGTACTGTGAGAGCTCATCTGATTTTTGGTTCATATGAAGTTTGTTTTCTGTGTAGAGAGTTGTTATTAGGTTGGTGTTCTTTCGTGAAGGACAACTGGAAGAGCCTTCTATTTCATCATCTTGATCTGCCTGCTAGAAGCAGTTCTGAAAACCATTAGGGTCAACTAAGATCAAATGAGAGTTAGGAGAACTAATACATTAATAACTAACATTTATTGTACCTCTAGTCTGCTACTATGTATGTATCTATTTCATATACCTGGCTCATAATTTATGTGTATGTGTGTATAAAATAGTTGTTGAAAAAAGTCAACAAGTTAATTAACATTCCTGCTTCTCAGATGAGGACATTTGGGCTCTGAACTTTGACTCATAAAAAGGGTTAAATCTGCAGAGGTATCTCAATTATGAAAACCTTTACATTCAGCATATAGTAGCTGTGGCAGAGAAGGGGGGATACAATGTAATTTATAACATTTTAGATGAAAGCATGTTAAAATAATTATACAACTTAAAAGCATAAACTTTAGTCACCTGGTTCATTTCTGTGCTTTGCATTTCCTGATCATTAGAAATCAGTGTGATGATCGTACACATGACAGAAAAATGATCACATTTCACAAATAATTCTGTCTTAACTAATTGGTAACAGTGAAACAGTAGAAAAACTAACATAACTAACTCCATTTTTTGTATAAGAGGTCTTTACCCATTCCTGTTCGTAGGCTAATTTTAGAGCACTGAGAAAAAATTCAAAGAAAACAGTCATGTAGTTTTCTTAACTAACTCTGCAATTAAAGTATGTAAACAGCTATGTTTTGTTAAAGATTTGCAGAAGCAAACACCACATGTTCTCACTCATAGGTGGGAATTGAATAACAAGAACACTTGGATACAGGGCGGGGAACGTCACACACCAGGGCCTGTCGGGAGAGCCCGGGGGAGGGATAGGATTAGGAGAAATACTTAATGTAAATGACAAGTTAATGGGTACAACATGACACATGTATACCTATGTAACAAACTTGCATGTTGTGCACATGTACCCTAGAATTTAAAGTATAATAATAATAATAATAAAGATTTGCAGAAGTATTGTGATCTGATCATGGACGAAGCAGCTCCAGCCGCCTCAAACTCTTCACTAGTTCCCAAATGTCTGCAGTTGTGGTCACCTCTTGATCCCAACCCCTTCCTCTTCCTGCCACCCTAAACATAAAAACAGCTTGAAATTTGTACTGACTTAAAATGGTACTTTAGAACACTAGTCATCCATCTTCTTGGTTTGCTGGCTTTCCAAAAGAAAGTTGCCTTCCTTGTTCCACCTCCTTAACTTACCGGCAGTTGTGAGGCAAGCAAAATGAGTTTGGGGGTTGATTACAAGTTCATTTGAGTAAGGAAGAATATGTAAGCCTTTGTGCAAATTTTGTTGAGATGGTGAAAGTTTTAATTTTCTTTCTAAAGTGATTATTAAAACTTTAAAAAGATGCAAATATCTGCATGCTACAACCTGTTCAAATAAATTTGATGCATTTTAAAAATTGCTTTTGCATTACAGTTTTTGAATTAAATATAATGCAATTCAGCAGCTAATACAGTTATGTTCATAAGTCATATTTTTGCTTCAATTATTTTTGCTTGGTTTTGAGTTCTCAGTGACACTTTGATGAATCATCAGGTAATGATTTGTTTAGAAATCAACTACTTAAAAACCATGTCTAATTAATTTTAGGGCTACAGAAATAAAATTCAGAGTGCCTTTGAGCACTTTGCTTTTTTTTTTTCCCCAGTGACTAAGCCTTCATTATGGCAAGTCTGAGTCCCAACATCAGGTCTGCTCTGATTGTGGAGGAATTCTCCTCCTTGGAGGTGGAAATAAGCCACCTCTGACCCTATCACCACCTGTTTCCAGCCACACCCAAAGTCTCAACACAGGTTCTGGGCTGGGGGAGGGGAGAACCACAGTGGCCTAGCCAGAGGCAGGGGCCGAGGTGGGATTTCAGAAAGTCCTCTTGATGGAAGTGGACTCCTGTCCCTGCAGGTAGTGAATGGTGTGGCAGGATTTGTTGGCCCAGTTTGGGCCCAGGGATACTACTTGGTTAAGTTAATGGTGAGATTGAAGGGTAGCCCTAGTCCTGCAGCTCAGGTGGGCTGCCCTGGCTGTGGGTACACTCCGGGGTGGAGGGTTCCACAAGAATACGTGCAACCTGGTCCGCTGTGGGGAGGGACAGGTCAGGATGGGAGCCCTGGTGCCCCCAGACCCTGGTTTGCTATCTCTGGAGTTCTGCAGGCTGAAGCGCATGGACAGAGGTAGATGCAATCACAGGGCATGGACCCAGGCCCTTCACAGGCTCCTCACCTCTTAGGTCCCTGCCTCTGCACAAAAGGAAGGAGAGGAGCCACCGCAAAGGAGAGAAAAGACATTGGGGAAGGCAGAGATAAGATAATAGAAAGGGTGGAGATGATGAGGAAGGAGACGAGGGGAGGACAAGAAGCAGGTAAAGAGAGATGAGGAGTCCAAGAGCAGACAATAGAAGTGGGAGGCGGCTGTGAGAAGGCAGCGAGCTGGAGAGGGAGAAGGGAGAGGTCCTCTGGGAGAAGAAAGGGAGGGAGAGAAGGGCCAGGCAAGAGAGCCTTCAGAGTTGAGGTCCCCAGACTTGGGCTGAGCCTAGCGAGATGTGAGTTCCAACGACTTCTTCAGCCTCTTCTTCAGCTCCAGGAGGAAGTTCTAGCACCTTTTACACACGGGCTTCATGTCAGACTCCACAAAGTTGATCTTCAGAGTGAGCCTGCTCTTGCAGGTGGAGCAGGAGAAGCAGTTCACACACATCAGGCCTTGTTGAGGACCAACACCATGTCACCCTTGACTTCATGGCTGCAGATGTTCCAGAGAGCTGGCTGTAGTGGATCTCAAAGTAGGCCAGGCCCTTCTTCTCATAGTGCCAGAGCCCCAGGAATGGCTTCTCACGCTCAGGGCAAAAAGCTCTGCATGCCACCACTCTTTGCCCAGTGTATTCATTATGTGACCCTTGAGGGGCTGGCTGCAGTCCCTAAAAATAGGGACAACATCTTGTAAATGCAGGGCAGGCAGTAGAGAGTTCACCCTTCAGCTCATGGGCCTCGCCAGTCAGCTCCTTCCTACAGTGGATGCAGCTGAAGTGGCCTGGGTGTCAGGCACTGTTCCTGAACATGAGGGGCTGCTCATGAATGACCAAGTGGCACTGCTGAGGTGCCAGACACTTGTGCCAGGCCCTTGGCCTTCTCGCGATATGGCAAGGCTGGTAGAGATGCCCATAAACCAGGGGTGGTACTATGCATCTTGTAGGGATGTGGCTGGTCAGCAGCCTCATCAATACAGGCCACAGAGCCTGTAATTGTGCCTGGTTCTCAGCAAGTGGGCCTTTAAATAAATAAAGCTACTTATATTGACCTGTTTGGAAAAACAATACGACCAGTTTGAAGTACATATTAAATTCAAATTTTTTTAAAAGGAAAGAAAGCTAATCTACTTGATCTATTTCACAATAACAAACTTCAAGTTCTGAAAATAATAAAGTCACATTCTAGTAGACTTGTAAAACAATTTTAATGTTTACTCAAAATAAATGAGATGTCATCATTAGCCCTTATCTTACACTTGAAAAATGGAGACAATTGTTCAGAATAGAAAGGGAAACAGCTATTAGAGTTTAAGCTCAAATTTCAAGAAAAATTCAGATAAGGCAGGTAAAAACTCTAGATACTTTTCCACTGTCCAACATCACCAAACATTAATGTCCACATACCTTTTATTTCATAAAAATATAAATATTTATTAGAAATAGTATGTTTAAGATTAGTTTTTCTTTCTAAATAACATGATTTCTTGCCTTAAAGGAAGATTCCCTAATAGTGCCACCTATTTCATAAACTGTCCTGCAGTTTTGTGCTTTTTAAAAATTCTAATTTACTTTGATTTAAAGAATAAATATCTCATACCAATGGTGAACTATTTTATCACCCCAAAATACAAATGATCTGTATTTTACAATGAAGAAATTCATAGCATTTACCACCACATCACTGTACTATGATTGGACTGACTGAAGTATGGGCCTGTGTATATAGATTGAAGAATAAAAAAGAAATGCTAAAAAAAAAAAAAAAAAGGCTTAGCTACATAAAATAATGTTAAATATCAAAACTCAGCAAACATAATCCAATTTTAAAGAAACTGATGAAAAATGCTTCCCCTAACATGAACTATGATTAGATAGTATTGTCTGTCAGGAAAATCACCAATTCAGTAGCTGATCTTTATGTGGAAACAAAAATAGGGCTTTGTCCTTATTCACAAGTACAGGGAAGAGACCACTCCTTTATTTAAAAAAAAAACAAAAAACAAAAAACAAAAAACACCTAGATTAAATGTGAACAAGTAGCCCCAAATGTACAGTAAACCACCAACTACCCCCGGCTCCATAATGGCCATAATATTGTATTCTTCCAGTTATTTCTGAGAATTGAAAGAAAAACATTATAATCTTACTTAAAATAATAATAAAACTCGTAAAAATCAAACAGAACAACAGGACCTTGCGGTGATGAATTTTGTTCGTACCAAAAGTATAGTCAGAAATTCTTAAAAAAAAAAAAAAAAAAAAAAAAGCTTGCATACAACGACAGTGAAATCAGCATCCAGGCCAGGTCCTGTGTACACAACCTCTCCAATGCAGTGTAAGTTTCCTCTTAGCAGCCACCAACAATGAGCTCAAACGTAGTGAATCTATAATGTGGCTGATTTTCCAACACTATAAATATTAATAAGAGTGGCTAGTGCTATTATTTACATCTGTTGGCCGAATATTACTCTTGGGAAATAAACAGCGGACTTTTTTCTTAACAAGTGGCTTCTCATTGACAAGTTCTGGTCATTAGTGAACTTGAATGAATCTTAGCTCACTTCCTTGTTTTGCAGGACATTTAACTCCTTGCTTCTTTTAAAAGCTCCAGTGTTTTTTAGGCAACCACTACAATACATTCTCCCCCTCTTTTCAATTTACTTCCCTTCTTTTCCCTAAGGTAGACCCTCTGTAAACCTAAAAACATATGGTAATTTAATATACAAGGTTTCTCAAAGTGCAAAATATGTTACAGATAGTTTCTTAGACTTCATTTAAACACAGCATTTTATACAATACAGTACAGTTTGAGATTTCTGCTCATAAATTATACCACTAACAGATAACTACTTTAAAAGGGCTGACCACCTAAGTAACCCATTGTCTTCTTACACAAAGTTAGTACAATGGAACTTTACAAGCTTTGTTCAGACCAAAATAAAGTTATTCTTACACTTAATCACATATATACATATTTTTAAATGCTCCTTAAATGCCTAAGTATAGACAAATTTGCCTATCAATAGGCAAATTCTTATGAATTATCTTATAGTTCAGTTTCAGATTTACACATAAAGATTGCATACAATAATTAAAAAAATAATCTGGGGAGCAATTCATTTTATTTGCTACTTCAAAATCTGCTCATCCTGTAATTCTCTTGGAAGGGTTCTTGACCGCTGTAGAACCACATTAAGTTCTTCAATTACCCTTGATGGTAACTTATGATCAGAGTCCAAAGTAGCCTTGCTATTCCTGTCCTCAGTCTTCCTCAATGTCTTTAGTCCTTTATGGCCTTTTGGTTGCCCGAGTGGGGCTTCAGGCTCTGTGTCCTCCAGGCAGTTGAAACTCCGATGCTTTCGGGTTCGATTTCGAAGTTTATCGTCCTTGTGCTCCAGGCAGTGGGCCACCATAGAAGCTCTCTCCTTTAAGCTCGAGTCCACGGACTCTTTATCACACTTTTCAATGAGCCGCAGCCTTTCAAGTTCTGCTCTTGCACTCTAAAAATAAAATAAAATGTCTCACAGGGAAGCAAGATTTGGCACAATTCAGGTTTAGAAAGTGCAATCCACATAAAAGTTGATGCTTCCTATAAAAGAGCTCATTTCTATGACTTAGGTCCTAACTTAACTTCGATAAAAGTGGCATGTCTTAATTTATATACTAATCTTAGAGCTACAAAATCAACTACAGACAGTCCCTGGCTTTCAATGCTTCGATACGATTTTTTGACTTTACAATGGTGCAAAACAAATATGCATTAAGTAGAAAGCATACTTCAAATTCTGAATTTTGATCTTTTCTCCAGTTAGCGATGCCTGGTAGGACACTCCCTGGTGACTCTGGGCAGTGGCAGTGAGCTGCAGCTACCAGTCAGCCATGGACTCAGGAGGGTGAATAACTGATATGGTGTGCTGTGTTGCCAGATGATTCTGCCCAGCTGGAGGCTAACATAAATGTTCTGAGCACGTTTAAGCTAGGCTAGGCTAAGCTACAACATTCCATAGGTTAGTTGTATTTAACGTATTTTTTATTTTATGTATTTTCACCTTATGGTGAGTTTATTGGTATGTAACCCCATCATAAGTTGAGAAACATCTGTTAAATGCAATCCATGGAAATTCATTTTAACATGCATTCAACATACCACTTCAAAGATGTCTTTTGGGTTACCCACATTTAATCTCACTTCATCCTTACCTCTTCTAACTCACTCCTGCTTAGATGTATCTAGCAAGATTTCTGTTTTTTTTTTTTTCCCTTTTGTTTAATTAGTTCACTGAAGTGTGAACCTTGTATACACATAGGAAATGATCAATAAGTATTTTTGAATGAGTAAATGAAGAAAAGTTTAAGCAGTTTCCAGTGTACAACAATGTTCTATTTTCTTTTCTATTTTCCTTAATTTCAGTAGATCCAAACATAAATTTATAACAGAAAATTCAAGTGGAATAAAAATATTTTCATGAATATAATGTACAAATAATTTTAAAATTTGGAATTTTCTGGTAAGATTCTGATTATACATCTTAAGTTATACACATTTTTCCTACTCTGAAATTTATTGGAAGAAATGTTTAATATCTAGCTTAATTCCAAAGTTTCATTAGAATATGTTAAAATGATTCAATCACCTCGTATCAGGCCCCACCTCTAACACTGGATTACATTTGAACATGAGATTTGGGTGGGGATACAGATGCAAACCATACCAGTAGTGTACTTCAAATTTCAGCATTATGGATGATATTACTTGGCCCCTACATTCTGTGTCTAAGAGAGCCCCGGAGTTTTTATGTTTTGAATGGAAATAATAATATGAAACAGAGTCTGTCTCTCTCAGTGGCAGAGAGAGTAGTTTTTACTTATCATAGCTAGAGAATGGTATAATGAATGGGTTCTCACAGCAAATCACTCATATGGCTTTAGCCTGTGCCTTCATATTTTCCATTAAATCCAGAGGCAAGCCAATGGTTACAGAGGTCTTAGGACACCAAAAAGTAACATGACCAATATGTACAGAGTATATTAGAAACTTTCTTAATTGGCTTTCATTACCAAACTCACTGTATTAATCTTCATGCTGTAAAATACATAATCATATCAATACATTTAATCATCACAACAACACTTTAAATGCTTTAAACTCCATATTATTCATAAAGTAAATTGTCTTTATCTTGCAGATGCAGAAATAGAAACTTGAAGAAAAAAATTTGCCCAAGGTCGCACAAGTGAGAGCCTGGGAGAGGACCCCAGGTTGGCCTTTCTGAAACCAGCGTACTTCTTTCTACCACATCAAACTGTGCTCAGGATACCAACAGCAAAGATGGGCTTATAGGTGGGATTCTATGTCACAATTTTCTGCTTCAGTGCATCATCATTCTTCGCTCATTATTTTTGTTTTACAGATATTGCTTTTAAAATAGCAATTTTGAAAAAAACTAACGAATTATTCCATATCATCTTCCAAGTTCCTTAATATTTTGTTTCAATATACGTTAAAGATATGCCAGTCATTATTCTAATAAAGTCTCATGTATAATGTCACTTAATCATGTGACATTTATTAACCCCATATGCTTACAGATAAAGCAGCTTAGAACAATGGAGTTAAAGTAAGATATCCATGATTTTATAGGGACTCAGCAGGAGGACCACAGGTAGTATCTAGTTTGTGCATTCTTAAGCATTCTGTTTGCGTCTTCATGTGTGATTTCCTCTGCCAACAACCTGGCATTTTCAGCTGGCTCACTACTAATTTCCTCAATTAACTTTAGAAGTCACTTTCGCCATGAAGCCTTCCCTACCTGGATAAGATATTCTCATACGACTTTCAATAGGACTGAATGAAAGCCAGGCGTAGCCACAAAATTTATCAATCTGCCAACAACTTCTTTGAAAAGTAATTCTTCTTGAATATATTCATTGTTATGACTAATTTTTATTAATATACCCTACTTAATAATATTTTAACTCACTTTTCATTTTTACAACAAAGGGTCAAAAATGGTTATTTTGTAAATATATTTTTTAAAATTTTTATATGAATCTAATTCTATGGCAAATATTTTAATGGTTTATATGAAATTTTTAAAAAAAATTATATTATTGCCTTATAAAGTAAGTTTCATTGTGCTTTTCCAACATTAGAACAGTTAAAAAATGTCTTTGCCAAATTTATCAAATCACCAAACTACCTTATTACAAAAGAGCTTGGTTTATTTTAAAGACTCAGAAATTTTCCAGTAATTGATAATGCATTCTAATTCTTTTAAAAGCTTGTAACACTTCATAGTTTCAGTTCATCAGTTTTCCTATCTTAAATATGTTAAAAATTGTCTCTGAAATTGTAGATTTGGGATAAGGCTAAGAAATTATTATACAGTCAGTCATCATCTATACTAGATACTGGTGAATGCATTTTGATCCCAATATTTTGCTTTGCTCGATAACTGATTCGAAGACAATGTCAAAAGAAGCTACAGTCACTGTAGGGCGTATCTCTCCCTATGTTAGTTTCATCTGTTCAGCCTGTGTCCGCTGTCCTGGGTTCCTGGGAAATGTAACTCTTAGAATTTTAAGATGCTTGATTAGATAAGGAATTCTCTGCAGAGCAGTTTATTGCAAAAAAAAAAAAAAAAAAAAAAAATTGAGGTACAGAAAATGGTACAGAAAAAAATAAAATGGAAGAAATGACGAGGTCATGATTTCTTGGAGACACTTACTTTGATTACATCAGGGCAGAACGTCTAACCAGTAAACAAAGGACCATTATTTTTGAAGCTTTTCTCTTTCAGAGAAGGAATATTACAGTGGGATAGATGTTCAAGAAAGGATATGCACAAAAAGTTTAAAAATCTAATCACTAGGTCAAAATGGCTTCTGTCTTTCAAAAGTTATTTATGTTTGGAGAGCAAAAGATTTGAACAACTTAATTCCAAATTTAGGCTCAAGGAAGATATAAGAACACATTCTAACTGCTTTTCTTTTTGCTTTCAGGGAGTCAATTAAGACACTGAAATATGTGTTGGTCCCAAGGTGGCTAACGAGTTTTGAGCGTCAACAGCCCATGTTCTTTGCTGAAGAGGCCAAAGTTCATGTCAAGATTGATGTCGCTTATGCTCTCCCAACCCTCAAGGTGAGAAGGAAAACAAGCAGTAGCTTTCATGAAAGATGCCAAACTTTTTTTGATTCTCAGGGGTCATCTTGTAGGTCCTTAAATTAACTGAGACACCCCACCAGTTTCCAAAGCACTGAAATGTGATTATATAACTAGAAAGTTCAGTTACCAGGGCTCCAGACATATTCTGCTATGGGCTTACTCTGAGGGTGTTTTAAGTAAGCTTGTAAAATGAATTTGAAGTTCCGATTTTACCACCAGAATTTCTATACGCATATTTAAAATTGGCTACTTTAGAGGTAAGAAAATAAGTAGTATTGTGCATATGTGATTGGGTAGTCAATGACGTTAAAATAAAAGGTATAAGGTTATTCACACTGTTTTCTTGTTGTATGTGATTATTACCATGCCTTTCAAAGTGATGATTATTGTGCTTTTGAAGCCAATGAAGTAATTAATGACCTAATCACATTATGACACAGGAAAATATATTCTATAATTGAATATAAAACAAAAGCCTAACCTACCTCGATATTTTTCCGGGCCAGGGTTGCATTCCCCTCATGCTGTATTGGAATCAGAGGCAAACCTCCAATTTTGGGATTTTTGGTTATTGAACGTTTTCGTTCCTTTCCAGCTGGTGGCCATATATCATTTTCATGCTGTGGAAACACAATTTCTTGCTGTTGGTGTGTGATTTTATTATGTGGTATACTATGTCATACAGCCACTTGGTTTCTTTCCCACACATCCACATCAAGTGATCTGATTTCCATGAGAATACCATTTGTGATTATGATGTTGACTCCAGTGGCAGCATCGCTCCAGGACATGAAACTCTTAACTGAACTGAGCTTTGAGGTCTCAGCTCAATTTCTAAGTTTCAAATACATGCCTTCTATACTACTTATCAAACCAAAAGGGGAAAAATATTTGAGGCAACCGGAAATCTCTTTGTGGAAGAAAAATAGCATACTTGTCGACACTGCTAGGCCACTGTAATATATGTAACTATACATTTACACCAAATACGATTTCAGTGTAAAACTAATTTCATCTTACATATCCCACATCAACCTAAGGCATGACTATCAGAAAAATTAGCCTAACTTTATGACATCCTGAAAAATGTTACTATTTTATCTAATTGAATTCCAAAGAAATATAATCTTTTTACTTATTTAAACATCTTTACTGAAAATCATTGTACAACGGAGAGTGGGGCACATTTGTTCTCAAATCATTGACTATATATTCTTGCCTTCTAAACAGTTATACATATGACTGGAGAAAGGTTAATCTGGAATGGGGATAAATGTTCACAGGTAAAAATATAAGCTCTGGAGTGATTAATCTTTGATATATACATACAAAAAATTCTTTAAAGAATTTTGTACTCCCCAGAGTAGTTTAACTTTCTAGAATTTGGAAAAAGTATATCAACTTTCAAACAACAATCTATGAAGGAAACACAGAATACCAAGTGTAAAATGAAAAGTTCACAGATAATGTAATGAAACGAAAACCATTTAGTAAACTATATAGCTAAATGCCTACTCTTTATTTCCCTCAATTCTTAAGCAACAGATTACTGTTCTTATGTTGCAGTTCTTATTTTCATGTGTTGTTTTATGACAAAGAACTCATTTAAAGAAATATTTACTGTCTACCCACCATATAATAACAGCTAATTTAACTAAGCGGCAAACTGCCAACCTGCATGTTTATCAATGTACATGTGATTTTCATTTATTCCTCAATGATCTTACAGTGCAAATCCTTTTATGTGCAACATATCTACCCTTGAATGTTAGTGAAGCATTTACCTTAGTTCAGCAAATCTATAATTGTAGGTTATACAGTATTTCAGTTGGAAGGTTATAGCTTCATATTACTTTTATGACATGGTACCAAACATGGTTAAAAAAAGGATATTATATATCATATAATTGCAATGTTCCCAACACATAAACCTGGGAGAAAACTGAGAGGGAATTAGGTGATTCTGTGAATTGCCCTTACACTTTCAAATCACTAATGTATAGTGCATACGTGAAAATATATTTTGAAGAATCTAAGAGCAAATGAGGTTTCCAAATCCATATTTTTCTTTTCTGAAATAGTATACAACTGTGAATACCAGCTAACTCTCCTTGAATTGAGCTAAGAGGCATTTTTTTTCTACTTTACATCCAAGTGATGTGTTCTGATTTAACATTTGTAGTTATTTGAAAATGACTTCAAAAGTCTTACGCATGGATCATATAGGTGAGGATCAAACTTTCATTTTATAACCAAAGACCACATCTAAACATCTCCATTTCTGTCTTCCAATTTCTAACCTTTGCCTATCTTTCCAGCTAACTAAATTTAGTTTCATTCATTTTAACAATTCTTTTCATTCCTTGAGACCTCTAATCCAACACCATTCTTCTCACAACATTTTTTACCACTTCCCTCATTGCCTGGCTTGGATTTCATAGTCAGTCAGTAAACTCACTTCCTTGTAAATATCTTCAAGTCCAAATTTTATCTGATTACTTATTTATTTTCTTGCTCCTTTGTCTTCTATCATATTTGCCTGACAAAGCCCCAAACCTAATTAAACACAATTCAACTTATTTCATGAGCGCCTGCCAGTTGATGGAGGACAAAAATAAATTACTCTGTAGATCCATCACACTTTATATTTAACCTTAAATTTTAAGAAAGCATTCAGCACTGCCCTGATGTTCTACCATGGGACAACTGGCTTCCTCACTCTCTGAAGATTATTTTTCTCCTTCGCCTCTCACCTTACACTTCAAAAACGCTGCCTGCATCACATGTGGTGATTTCACTGATTCAATCCAACAATTTTTACTGATCACTTAAGAAAATACTTCTCCCATCATGAAATGTACCAATCTCCTTGCATCTATAGTCATATCAGTGAGTTTATTTCTTGCAATCAATATTTGCTCATTGCAAATAACTCTTATCCAGTCATATCTATAATTGCTCAGTAGGCCATACCAATGTATGGTCAATAATTTGAGAAGAAATGTGCCACACTCTCTGCAGTACAATGATTTTTAATAATGGATAACCGTGCACTAGATCATATCATTTCATCTGTGTTCAGAGCCTCTGCTGGTTTAATAACATCTCTCCTCTTCTATCCATTTTTTCTTCCTGATTGGATTGTCTTCACATAATGTATGCAAGTACACACTCTCCCACCTTAAAGACAAATCAAAACCCCCAAACCTACCTTCACCTCTATCGAGTCACAACCTCATTTAATTACATAAGCAAATTACTTGACAAAATTTTCTGTACCCCTCACCTGGTTTTCCTCCTTTCTTACTTCTTATTATTGCTTTTGCTGTTTTTTTTTCCTCTCCCCCTCCCTCCTCCATGCTTCCCTCTCCACCTCAAACCTTCTCCCCCAGGCATCTCATCTAATCCTATAGCTTTGAATATAATCTAAGTGCTGACTTCTCCCAAATTTACATTTTAGCCCCAAACCTGTGCCTGAGTTTTTGATCCACACATCCAACCTGCTGCCCAGCATACACATCATGTATCTAACAGGCGTCTCAAATTTTATGTGGCCAAAACAGAAGTTACCATTTCCTTCTATATCTCTGATGATCCCACTTACATCTGACAGTTGCCAAAAAACTAGAATTTTTTGATTTCTACTCTTCCTGTCAAACTGCAATAGCCAATTGACACAGGAGTTAAGAAGGAATTACTTAGCAGACAGCAAGTGCATGGGAGTCCTTGGTACGGCTTTTCTTTTTAATGAAAAGCAGTCCCAAGCCATTTTCTAACAAAAGAGCAGCCTGCAACCTAGGAGCTTGCAAGGGTGAATGCCTGCAGGAACTAAGGACTAGACATTTTTCAAGATGGCGGCTCCATCTTCCCTTCTCTGCCAGCCAAGTGCTTTGTAAGGAGCCCACAAGATGGTGTCAATCAACCGGAAAGCCCATTTGCATAAGAAGATTAGGGTAGGGGTGACCAGTCTTACCCATACACTATGTAAACGCCATATCTGATGGAACCAATCTGTGAGCCCTATGTAAATCAGACACCACCACCTCAAACTGGACTATAAAACTGCGCATTCTGCACCAGTCAGTCCTTTCTGCTTGGAGGCCCCTTCCTGTATAGAGGAAGCTGCTTCTCTTTCTCTTCTCTTCTACCTATTAAACCTCCTGCTCCTAAACTCCTCGTGTGTGTCTGTGTCCTAAATTTTCCTGGCGTGTGACAAGGAACCTTAGGGTATACACCACAGACAACACAGTCGCTTCACAATAATTCCAAAAGCCTTATTGGCTCTACCTTCAAAATATTCCTGAATCTTAATTTGTCTTACCATATTCATTGTTACCACCTTAGTCAGAGTTGATATCTTCTTTCTTATAGCTGTTCCTCCCACTTGCATCTTTGACCCTCTACACTGCAGACTCAACAAAGTGAACAAAATAATTTTTTTTCATTTAGAATTAGATTATATCGTTCCCTTGTTTCAAATTATTAAGCAGGAACTACATAATCTGTCACACGCCTTCCTCATCTCTAATATCTTCCCTTCATGATGTTTATAGAATAAAACAAGGCAGTGATGACGTCTCAGGACCTACCCTGCTGGCCCCATCCCTGAATGATCCTTCCTGGAAGCCTGCATACTCCTCTCATTTCAGACTGGTCTCAGCTCACCTGTCAACTACTCAGAAAGACATTCCCCAAGAACTTTGCTCAATTAGTGCCTTCCTTATGTCAGTCACACTCTCTCCTTACCTGACTTGATTCTATCTTATCACACGGATATCCGTTTGAAATTTTATCTGATTACTGATTTACTTACCCTATTTCCTATTTTAGAAATACTAACTGAACATGTACTTGACACACAAGTCAAATATAATGAAGAGTCCTTCTTTTCATGCAGTTTACATCTTAATAAGAGAGGTAGACATGAAATAGCTAATTACATGTTTTTTTTTTTTTTTTCTTTATTAATTAGTGTCACAGTGGAGAAGTACAGGATGCTAAGGGTGATACTTGAAGGTCTAATTCATCTGAAGGTCAGGAAAAGTTTCTCTGAGAATGGGATATTTAAGCTAAAGTCTAGAGGACTTTTGAGGCAGGGGTGTGGAAAGGATGGAGATGACAAAAATACTCTGAATACCAAAAATAGTTCATTATAAGGGCTGTTTACTGTTAATTCACATACATGTTTGTGTGTATGTCTACACTTTTAACATATCTATTAATACTTGCTATTTTGCTGTTTCCCTACAGAGGAACCATAAATCCTTAAATCCAAGAAGGCTTCTGTGTTTATCTTAAGGGAGGACCTGAATAATACCAAGAAGAAAAAAGAACAGAGGAAAGATTATTAGGCTATATCTTTGAGACGAGGACTAGGATTAAAACATGAGACAGTGAGAAATAACCTCGTAGTAAGATAAGGCTTCGCTTCCTGCATTCATTCCTTAACTTTCAACTGCAGAGTCTACTGACTCCAATTATAAAAACAAAAACATCAATTTAGTTTTGCCACAAACGACACTGTAATAGTTTTATACTCTATAGTCCTAACTTTACTAAAAGACTTCAAATCCAGTTTTTTGTTTTTCCTAAAGCAGAACTGGAGTATCTGTGGCCTAGTGCAGTGGCGCATGCCTGTAATCCTAGCACTTTGGAAGGACAAGGTGGGTGGATCACCTGAGGTCAGAAGTTTGAGACCAGCCTGCCCAACATGGTGAAACCCCATCTCTACTAAAAATACAAAAATTAGCTGGGTATGGTGGTGTGCGCCTGTAATCCCAGATACTCAGGAGGCTGAGGCAGGAGAATCACTTGAACCTAGAAGGCAGAGATTGCACTGGGCTGAGATCACACCACTGCACTCCAGCCTGGGCAACAGAGCGAGACTCTGTTCCCGTCTCCCCCCCCAAAAAAGAAGTTGAATATCTGAATTTTAATAAGTTACAAAAAAAAAAAAAAAAAAAAAGAAGAAGAAGAAAAAAGAAGGAGAAGGAGGAGAAGAAGAAAAAATAAAGCCTCTAAAAAGTTAGCAGTCAGTCTCTTATGCACATGTTTTTCCAGGTAGTAATAGTAGAGAGATAGGCTGAGAAGAGCTGTGTTTATTAACCACTGGAAAGGTTAATACATTAAATGAACAGAGCAAACTATTTTCAGAACAAATAAGAACTAGATTTTGGAGTGAGCTAACTTATTCCTTGTAAGGGAAACAGAAAAATACCTCTTCAGTAATAAAGAATGGCAACTTAATCGTTACCAATGAATTTCAATGCTCCATGAGAAGCATTGTTGGGAATTTAGCTAGACAAGGTTGCAAAACAAACCAGTCCAATTAATGGGACTATTTAACCGTTCCTCAAAAGGGTAAGTCCTGCTCTAGGGAGGAAAACAAATACAGAACTGAGTATGAGTATTGGCCTCAGACACCCCTGTGTTTAAACTACTAATTACATATATGGTCCTGAGCAAACAACAAAATCTTTGTTTTATAAAGCCAAAAAACATATTGTATGGGTTGCTGCAGGGAATACATGAGTTATTCTTATGAAGTATGTAGCACACAATCGTTATTAAAGAAAAGTAGGTTCCTGTCCTTGTTTCTGGAAAGGCAGGGGTGGAGAGAGTGGGAGAACAAGAAGGGAAAGAGAACACTTTTCTAAATGAAGGTCTATGTGGGACTCTGGTAGGATGACAGCTTAGAAAAGTCCCTCTTTCTTACACGACCATTTTAAAGCAACATACCTCACCTAAGCCAAGGAGGCTGTGGGGCTGGCAGAAAAGAAGCTTTAATGGAATAAACTCTCTTTCAAAAGGTAATGAATACATTTGAACTTTAATACACTATTTTAAAAACTAAGAAGGGGAGAATCAAAGTTTATGCCAATTGTATATACATTTAAAATGCTTATTAAAATTCTTTAAAAATCACCATCACACTAAAATTTCCTGTAAACAAAGTTATTCTACTCTACTCTACTGGATAGTTCAAACAAATCTCATACCTGGGCAATAAAGATACTGGTCATCCACTCCGTCTGAGTTCGTGAACTATCACAACACAGGTGCCTGCAAAATGAGGTGTATAAACTATGTCATTCACAAAGACAATTGACTATTCTCTAATCTGTTGGGCGATTTGGTGATCAAAAATCTCTTTGGGTTTCTTCTGATTAATGACATAACACAATCACAAAAGTGGAACATTGCAGTACAAGTTGTTTTGGTCTTCTGCTAAATGTACAATACAAAGTTATACTGTAAATATATTGGTTTAAACAAAATACAACTGAAGGCTTTGGTAAATGCTGCAAAATGATCACCAATATTTTTTGGAAAGGCAGAAAAATCAATTTCATTTTGCCTTTTCAAGGACATGATGGTAAAACACTGTTTTCCACTGAAATTCTGAGCCTGAGAAGAAAAATATGTGCACATTCTCTTAAGAGCAGATCTTTCTTTTAAAAAGGCCGAGACATAGTCTCCATCATTGTAATTATAAACACTAATACCCACAGATTCATACAAAATAAAACTACACGAGAAACCACTGCATATCCAATAACAGTGATTAAGTAACCTTTTACTGAAAGCTTCAATAAAACAGAGACCTTGTCCTGAAGGCTCCTGTAGTCTATTAGGGGACTTAAGCATGTAGACAAATAAATTACAACACAGTGAGAAAAAGCAAAAATAAAATTGAATGCAAACACAGAAACCACAGACTTGGGGATGAGGAGAGGGTTGTTTTTTATAAGAGGAAAAATTTATAATTGATACTGGAAAGACCTAACGGGCATTTCAAAGTAATTGTATTTTTTACATTCCTGTATTATCAAAATAATTTACCTGAAAAATGTTGAAAATGAAATTTCTAAAAAATGTGTGTTTTCTTCTTTAGAACCTCATGAAAACATTGTCTTTCCCTATTACCATGTCTAGGAAAACCATTCCTGCCACAAATCATTTTAATTATGTACCCTTGTTTATAAAATACTGTAGGTGCAAAGAAGAAATAAATAATGATCAGAGGTGAGAGCTATTAGATAAGGCTTTGGGGCATTTGAGTTATGATTTCAAAGAACAGTGACAGTTGAGTTGGTTGGGTCATCATGGGGAGAATGAAAGTATGAAAGGAAGGAGAAGTGAAAAGTATGAACAAAGGTACAGTAGAGGGACCATGTACATCACACATGCAGATCTGAAACAGCAAGGAATGCGTGGGGAATAAAGACAGATGCTTGTTTTGTCATTAAGTGAAAAAGAAAAGCTGTGGGAGATGAAGTTGGCAGAGTCATATACAGCCTTGCATGCCACACAACAATTGTGTGCTTGACCCTATAGGTGAAAGAATTCACAGAAGTCTTAAAGCAGGAGAGATACATAGTACGGCATAGAAAACACTCCTCAATGGAGAGGTGGAGAATGTATGCCAAAACAAAAGCAAAGCAGAGGCCTGAAGAGCACTTAGGACTCCTGGAATAATCCGGGCAGATCAACGAAGGCCTGGCCCTGAGGGTAGACAGATGTAGGTGGATGAGGGGCACAAGGAAGAGGCAGATCACATGTGGCTCAGTCACTGATTAGACACAGGGAGGTGAAGAGAAGGAAACACCTAGTACCATCTCTAGAAATACTGGTAGATACTGGTAACAGTATATGGCAAAAAGTACATATATAGAAAGAACAGAGTTGAAAGCAGGATATTTGTTTGTTATAAATCTGATTTCTGCTAGTTCTTATTCTTTTTAAAAACTATCACCTGCTTATCTCATAAAAGCTGAATTCCACACTCATGATAACTATGGAAGAAATCAGATGTAGTTTCACTTCAGAGGCATTGACAAATAGGATACATGGAACTTGAACCCTGATACAAATCTATTTTCCTCTTCTTAGGCTCAAAGTCTTTACAAACAACCCTAGTTTCGTTTAGGCAAAACACTTTCTGTCTGTAGCTCTATCTGAAATTACTGAAATTATTCTTTTCCTGAAATTGTCACCAATATATTATGTCCGAAAGTTGTCAGCTGTTAACTTACCAGTGATGTTTCTCAGAATATGCGGTCAATCCCCAACTGCATCACATAGAAAAAAAACACACACATAAATTAAAAATGATACATTTTACAAGGCAGAAAACAGGATTAGATGTTAAGGAGATGAGATTTAATGGTGGGAATGTATAGACTTCCACAAGTGATGATTCAATGTGCTGGACTTAGCTACAGGTGAACGCTAAATGCTAAGGGATCTGCCTACACATTTATATAGAGGGAAGGAGGCTTGTGATGACATGGGGCAGAGAGGAGACGTCTCTGAGAAGATACTCTTAACTGAATAAGGCCAAATGACTGAAATAAGATAATACAGAGAGACGTACGTACTGTTCCTGGGGGAAATTAAAGAACATGCCTATTAAAACACAGGTATATGAGCTAGGCTTAGAAACTGAGGATGAAGGAAAAAGTGAAGAAACTTTCGGCAACAAAATCTCAGAAGCAAGCACGTATAAATGATGTTCATGATACCAATTATTAGTGCAAACATTTATTAGTTAATCAAAGTAATCTGTGGTAAGATATTGTGGTGTAAACCAAATGCTGGGGTACATGAAGTGTTAAAGAGGCACACAATCTGTAGGAGGCGCCCACCTCCTCTCTACCACTTACATGCTATGGGTTTTCAGTACCAAAGTCAGTATAGTACAAAAGGGAAAATTAGAGAGCCAGAATCAAAACATTGTAGAAGCCAAGCATCAGGAAGCTGGAGGGCAGCATTTGCTTTCCTGTGTGTAGACTTGCCCTCAGGTTGTGATGTGACAGCTCAGGGAATGAGATGCAGAGGAAGCCATGTACTTCCCAACAGACAGGGCCCCCCGGGATTTCTTACTTTACATAGAGAGACTGCAATCACCAAGGATCTTGGTCTCAGTGGGAACATCATCCCTCCTTATCTACTCATACAAGTTCCTTGATCTGCCGTAAGAACCCCGTGACAGGGGAAGCCACTTTAAAAAAAAATTGCCTAAAACTTACTTACTAAAAAATTAGACTAATGCCACTGATCCCTAAATCCTTACGCAGACATGTTTTCCCATAATTTTTTTCCTTTCAGTACTTTCCTTTCAAACTTTACCTTGTTGGAGGCTTCATTTTCTTTTTCACTCCACGGTAAAACTTCACGGAACTGAGAGAAAACATTTTGTCATGTTTACTACTCTGTAAGGAAAACAAAATAATTTGTAATTAAATGGATTTACACATTTCCTTACATTTTCTTTGAGCATTAATGATTGGGTTTAGAATTGTTTAGTTTCTCAATGTTTCATAAAACGTACATTTCATGAGTTTAGTAAATGAAGACTCTTTTGATTTATAATACAATCAAATACATATTGATAATGTTGGATATATTCATGTTATATATGTGTACACCTGTATATATTATAGAGCCATGTACATGGCTCTATAATTCTTGATTCAAAAACACTTGGGGTCAGATGTGCATCATGTCATGGTTAATACTGAGTGCAGACTTGATTAGATTGAAGGATGCCAAGTATTGTTCCTGGGTGTGTCTGTGAGTGTGTTGTCAAAGGAAACTGACATTTGAGTCACTGGACTGGGAGAGGCAGACCCCTCCTCAATCTGGGTCAGCACCATCTAATCAGCTGCCAATGTGGCTAGAATAAAGCAGGCAGGAGAAGATGGAAGAGCAGACTTGCTAAGTCTTCGGGCCTTCATCCTTCTCTGTGCTGGATGCTTCCTGCCCTTGAACATCAGACTCCAAGTTCTTCAGCTTTTGGACTCTTAGACTTACACCAGCAGTTTGCCAGGGGCCCTCGGCCTTCAGTCCCAGACTGAAGGCTGCACTGTTGGCCTCCTTACGAGGTTTTGGAACTCAGACTGAGCCACTACTGGCTTCCTTGCTCCTCAGCTGGCAGACGGCCCATTGTGGGACTTCACCTTGTGATTGTAGGAGTCAATACTCCTTAACCCCCCTTCATAGATACATCTATCCTATTAGTTCTGTCCCTCTAGAGGACCCTGACCAAATCACATCGGAAGTGATTTTTCATATTTTAAAAATATAATACAATGCATATGCCATATGTTTCGTAACTCCCTATCACCAATGTTGACTGGGACAGTACCCTGTATTCAAACATACTCATATTTTCAAGATAAAGGCTATATATATCTTCATATTGTTTTGGGTCAGATTTTGCCAACAAATGAGTTGGGATTTTCTACACTTTTTGGATTTCGGAATTATGGAAAACAGACTCGTGAATATATATGAACACATATTGAGGTATCTCAAATATCCAAATTAATGAAAACTATCCAAATTAAAACAGACTATTAAAAATTTACAGTTGGCCCTGGAGCAATTATATTTTCTTTACACCCCCTCTCAATACTCAGAAAGCAGTCAAAATGGAAAAAGGAGGAATATATGCTCATAAAATTAAAAATTAGTTTCATAAAGCAAATAGGTTAGGAGGATATAAAAGAAATACAGAGGAAAAGTAACCAGGAAGATGGTCAGAAATAATGCTGTGATGACCAAAGAGCTGGAATTTACATGGTGAATTTATTCCTAATCACTATTATCAGTTGAAGTTCACTATTATTATCATTGTAGATAATATGTTTATAAAAACATATTTAAAATTTTTCCCCTTATGGCTAGATTTCTAGAAATTTAACCACCGAGTCATAGGCTAAGAGTATGATTCAGAAAAAAAATCTTGTCTAAACTGATAGGGTACATTTATTTACCCTATCAAAAACACTAAGGTAACACAAATGTTAAGTGTGTATTTATGTATTTGCTAGCCATTTGCAGTTTTGATGTGGTAAACAGTTTATCGATGTCTTTACTTATTTGTTTGTACTAGTTCTTAATGTATTTAATACGAAATTTGTCTTTTTAAATGAAATATTCTATCCAAATTGCTCTTTGCCTTAACCTAGCTCATTGTTTACCTTATTTTTAATAAGTCAAACATAATGGCCTTTTAGGGTGTGCTTTCTTAACGTTTGCTTAAGTTTAAAGTGTTCCCACACAGCTGATAAATATTCAATTCCATGGTCTTGTAGCTTTAAGGGTTGTTTTTTTTTAGGATTTAAATCTTTTGTCAATCTGGAATACATTTTTTTATATACAGCATAAATGATGTTAGACTTAAATTTTTTGTTGACAATATTCTACCCCCAATTTATTGAACAAACATCCCTTTAGACATGAATGTTTTGTGGCATATTTATTAAAATTAAATTCTAACATATAATTTTTACCTGAATTTATGGTACCATTGCTCCTTGTTCACTTTTATACAAGGATTATAATATTTAAGTATCTTAGTTTTACTGTATATCTTAATAGTTGGATGGAAAAATAATTCAAATTCATTTTACTTATCTCTCAAAATATCTTCAAATTATTCTTATCTATTTATCCTTTGAAGTTAATTGTCAAATATTTTTGAAAAGTTATAAAAGCAATTTTCTTTGCAAACTTGAAAATAATTGCATTAAACCTATAGATCAACATTAGCAGATTTAACATCAATTTTTCTCCTATCAGAGAAGTTCTATAGTTTTCTTCACATAAGCCTCCACTTCTTAAGGCTGTTTTCAAGCAGTTTATGCATTTTTCTCTTTTAAATCCAACTGGATCTTTGGATTTTGATTCTGTAGCCTGA